TCAGTTGAAGCCCCATGAGAAGAACTACCCCGTTCATGATTTGGAGTTGGCTGCCATAGTTCACGCATTGAAAATTTGGAGGCATTACTTGTATGGTGTGTCTTGAGAGGTGTTTACTGATCATCGTAACCTCCAGTACTTGTTCAAGCAGAAGGATCTCAATTTGAGGTAGCGGAGGTGGTTGGAGTTGCTTAAGGATTTTGATATCACTATATTGTACCATCCGGGAAAGGCCAACATGGTGGCCGATACTTTGAGCCAAAAGGTGGTGAGTATGGGGAGTTTGGCATATATTCCAGTTGGGGAGAGACCTCCTGCAGTTGATGTTCAGGCCTTGGCCAGTCGGCTCGTGAGGTTAGATATTTTGGAGCCCAGTTCGGGTATTGGCTTGTGTGGTTTCTCGGTCTTCTTTATATGATCGCATCAGAGAGTGCCAGTATGATGATCCACATCTACTTGTCCTTAAGGACAGAGCTCAGTATGATGATTCCAGAGATGTGACCATTGGTGATGAAGAGGTGTTGAGGATGCAGGGCCGGATATGTGTGCCCAGTGTGGATGAGTCTTGGGAGTTGATTCTGAAGGAGTCCCATAGCTCGAGGTATTCCATTCATCCGGGTGCCGCGAAGATGTATAAGGATTTGAGGCAGCATTATTGGTGGAAAAGAATAAAGAAAGACATTGTGGGATTTGTAGCTCAGTGTCTTAATTGTCAGCATGTGAAATATGAGCATCAGAGACCGGGTGGCTTGCTTCAGCGGATGGATATTCCAGAGTGGAAATGGGAGCGTAAAAGTGGGAGCGGATCACTATGGACTTTGTTGTTAGACTTCCATGGACTTTGAGAAAGTTTGATGCTATTTGGGTGATTGTGGATCGTCTGACCAAGTCCGCGCACTTAATTCCTCTATGTACTACTTATTCTTCAGAGCGGTTGGTAGAGATCTATATCCGAGAGATTGTTCGGTTGCATGGTGTCCCAGTTTCCATCATTTCAGATAGGGGCACTCAGTTTACTTCGTAGTTTTGGAAGTCTGTGCAGCGAGAGTTGGGTACTCAGGTGGAGTTAAGCACAACATTTTACCCTCAGACGGACGGGCAGTCCGAGCGCGCTATTCAGATATAGGAGGACATGTTACGTGCTTGTGTCATTGATTTTGGAGGGTCTTGGTATTAGTTTCTACCACTTGCAGAGTTTGCTTATAACAACAGCCACCAGTCAAGTATTCAGATGGCTCCTTATAAGGCTTTGTATGGGAGGCGGTGTAGATCTCCAGTTGGTTGGTTCGAGCCTGGTGAGGCTAGGCTATTGGGGACAGACTTGGTACAGGATGCTTTAGAAAAGGTGAAGGTAATTCAGGAGAGGCTTCGTACAGTGCAGTCGAGGCAGAAGAGCTATGCTGATAGGAAGGTTCGGGATGTGTCCTACATAGTTGGCGAGAAGGTTCTGTTGAAGGTTTCACCCATGAAGGGTGTTATGAAATTTGGGAAGAAAGGGAAATTGAGTCCTCGGTTCATTGGGCCTTTTGAGGTGCTTCGGAGGATTGGGGAGGTAGCTTATGAGCTTACTTTGCCACCCAGCTTGTTGAGTGTGCATCCGGTGTTTCATGTTTCTATGCTCTAGAGGTATATTGGGGATCCGTCTCATGTTTTGGATTTCAGCACAGTTCAGTTGGATGATGATTTGACTTATGATGTGGAACTAGTAGCTATTTTGGATCGTCATGTTCGAAAGTTGAGGTCAAAGGATATAGCTTCAATGAAAGTGCAGTGGAGAGGTCGGCCCGTGGAGGAGGCTACCTGGGAGACCGAGCAGGAGATGCGGAGCAGATATCCTCACCTATTTGAGGCTTCAGGTATATTTCTTGACTCGTTCGAGGATGAACGTTTGTTTAAGTTGGGGAGGATGTGACGATTCGGCCAGTCGTCTCATGAGTTACCACTCCATCTTCCCTATTTCTACTTATTTATGCTTTTTTATCCATGTTATGTGGTATCGGATTGGCCGGATCGAATCCGGAATAATTTTGGTAAGGTTTGAGACACTTAGTCTCTTTTGAGGAAGGTTAAGTTGGAAAAGTCAATCGGATGTTGACTTATGTGTTAAAGGGCTCGGATGGAATATTTGATGGTTCGGTTAGCTTCGGGAGGTGATTTGGGACATATGAGCGTGATCGGAATGGGTTTTTGAGGTCCAGAGTAGATTTAGGCTTGAATTGGCAAAATTGGATTTTCGACGATTTCCGGTTGGTAGGTGAGATTTTGATATAGGGGTCGGAATGGAATTCCGAGAGTTGAAGTAGTTCAGTTGTGTCATTTGGGACGTGTGTGCAAAATTTCAAGTCATTCGGACGTGGTTTGGTTGGGTTTTTGATCAAAAGCGGAATTCGGAAGATTTTGGAAACTTAGGCTTGAATCCGATGTGTTTTAGTTGATTTGATGTTGTTTGAGGTGTTTTGAAGAGTGGTACAAGTTTGAATAAGGTTTTGGGATATGTTGGTGCCTTTGTTTGAGGTCCCGGGGGCCTCGGGTGAGTTTCGGAGGGTTGAACGGATCATTTTGAGTTGAAGAAAATTTCAGATTTTGGTTTCAGCTGTTGCAGGTATTTTCCTTCACGTTCGTGAGAGGACCCTCGCGTTCACGAAGAGTCAGTTGAGGAAGGTGGAATTTAAACCTTCGCGTTTGCGAGGAAGGCTACACGTTCGCGAAGGGCTAAGGATCTCTGCATCGCGTTCGCGGTAGAGGTGTCGTGTTCGCATAGAGCAAAAAGGGCAGCTGGGCTTTTGTGGATTTTATTCATCGCATTCATGAGAGGCGGAACGCGATCGCGAAGGTTAGTCTGAGCAAAGCATCTCGTTCGCGATGGGCAGGTCACGATCGTAAAAGTGGAAAATTGGTCAAAGTTAATTTGTGTTTTGCGAACGCGAGGTTTTGACCGCGTTCGCGAAGAAGGATTTCAGGCCTAGGCAGAAGGTTTAAAAGGTCATCTTGTTCGCGAATTTGTGATTTATTTCTTTCATTGTTGGTCGTTTTTGGATCTATTTGAAGGAGATTGAAGAGGGATTCAAGGGAAATCACTTGAAGGTAAGAATTTTAGACGTTAAAACTCGATTCTATTATGAAATCTACCTAATAAATCATAGAATCTAAGCCTAAAATGGAGGAATTAGGGCTTGAGATTAAGAGACTTTAAAATGAGAATTTGAGGGTCATTTGGACTCCGATTTCAGTGTTCTTGGTATATATGGACTCGTGGGAGGATAAGGATTCCGTTGATGTTATTTTTATCGAGTTTCGAGATGTGGTCCCAGGGGTCGGTTTGGCCAATTTCAGGATTTTTGGTATAATTTGATTATTTTCGTTTGGGCTTCATTCCCTTAGCATATTTTGACGCCGTGATTCTGATTTTGGATAGATTCGACACAAGTGGAGGCTGATTCGAGGGGCAAAGGCATCGCAGAATAGTATTTTCACTGATTTGAGGTAAGTAACAATTGTAAATCTGGAATTGAGGGTACAAAACCCCGGTATTTGACTTGTTTTGATAAATATGGTGACGCACATGCTAGGTGACGGGCATGTGGGCGTGCACCGGTAGAGATTGTGACTTGATCCGTCCCGTAGCGACTATTAAGCCACGTATTTGATTTGGAATCTTATATTATTCCGTACTTTAGTCATTTATACTGTATTATGGGTTATATGCCATGTTTGAGGCCTTGTGCCGACCTGCTAAGACCCTTAGGGGCATTTTTACTGTTTCTCCTCACTTTACTTGTTGAAAGCATATCCTCAGTCAAGTTTTACCTGTTTAAATGTTTAAAAAATGGTTTTATCACTCCACTTCTAATTGTGAGGGTTGTTTGGGCTGAGTTCCCCAATTTCTATTGTTGTGCCCGAGTGGATGTGAGGTTAATGACTGAGAGAGGTTGAGAACCTAATAGTGAGAATATTATATGTATATATTATGGATCGGGCTGCACGCCGCAGTGATATATATATTGGATCGGGCTGCACGTTGCAGCAATATATATATTGAATCGGGTTGCACGCCGCAGCAATATATGTATTGGATCGGGCTACGCACTGCATCGATATGATGTTTGGGCTGTAGGATCCCCTCCGGAGTTTGTACACCCCCAGTGAGCGTAGTCGACTATAAATTACGGATCGGGCTGCACGCCGCAGCACTTACAATGATTGCTATTATTATGAGATATTAATGAGTCTGAGTGCTGAAAGTGAGTATTAAGTGACTAGAGTGAGTCACGAGTGACTAAGAGGCTGCCCGAGAGGCCATGTTCTGTGTGATACCTTGCCCGAAGGGCCCATTTATGATATTTTTACTAATTTCACTCTTCTTTTAAAAATAGCCTCTGTTGGAAAAATTGCTAAGTATATGATTTCAAGTGTTTAAACTGAAGTTGATAATTTTATGAAGAAACTAGTTTTAAACTGTGAAATGGATTTGTTATCCTGTTGTTTATTCAGTTATATGATTTTTAATTGCTCGTCACTGCTTTCAGACCTTATTTACTCTAGTTACTTACTGAGTTGGCGTACTCATATTACTCCATGCACCTTGTGTGCAGATCCAGGTGCCTGAGTGGCAGAGTGAGGGTCCTCAGCTGATCCAGAGGTTGCCAGAGATTTCAAAGTAGTTGCATGGCGTCTACAGTCTTGTTTTCTCCTTCTTATCTTGTTCTTTTCCGCATTTTTCTAGACTTTTGTTGTATCAAACAATCAGTTATGTAGTAGAGGCTCTAGACTCGTGACACCAGATATTTGGGGCTGTGTAGTTCATGTTTATTTGACTTTCGCTTATATTTTGTTGTTTTGAAACACTTATTATGGAAATTTGGTATTTAAACCTGTGTTAGAAAAATGGTTTTATAAAAGGAATTTGTTGTAGTTAATGGTTTGGGTTGGCTTGCCTAGTAATGTGATAGGCACCATCATGACCGGGTATTTGGGGTCGTGACACTATCTGACAAGAAAACCAGTTCACGGCGGACTTTAATTGCTTTTCTCATTTCCCCGAAGAACCAAATATATGCCTCATTATTTTCTGAATCTGCTACACCAAAACATAGAGGAAAGATTTGATTGTTTGCATCCTTTGATACAACAACAAATAGAACACCACAATATTTTGACTTTAAAAACATTGCATCTACTGCAATAACGGGTCTACAGTAGGACAAACCAGCTAGTGATGTCGCAGGAGCAAAGAACATGTAAGCAAATCTGTACAGTGAAACACAAAAAAACAAATCATAAGGTGTAAAAATTTTCAAATAGGAACATTTGAAACTTCAGGTTGATGGTTAGTATTATTTTGCTTACCTATTCTGCCCATCTCTTTTTATGCTTGTGTAAGTTCCTGGGTTTTTGCGCACCATCATGTGTAGGTATAAAGGAAGAATCCGATAGTTCTCTTCAGGTGTTCCCCTTATGCAAGCAACAGCTTTTTGAATAGCGCGTCATGCCTTGTGATAACCAATGTCAATCCCAAATTTTTTTTCATTTCGTTTTCTACAAAGGCTAGTGTAACCTCTATCTTTTTGTCTCGAACATGTTCTATAATTTGTTCACTTATAAAATTTGATGTAGCATGCTTCTGATCTGATTTTCTTGCATCAACCGAGCATTCATTGTTGTTATCATATTTTATCACCGTGAATAGTGTGGAATTTTTTATTCTGGTAGTACGTACATTCCAACCACATTTGTCCACGATGCATTTCAGCTCGTATCTCTTTGAACATGATCTAACAACAGTGAATTCAACTTTCTGGTTTATCTCCAAGCTGCAAAAAAATTTAGTCATGTTTTGTTTGTTCTCAAAAATTGATCCACCTCTTACTTCCTCAGGCAACGCATTGTGCCTAAGTATTTTGCATGGTGGATATTCTTTCAGCTTTCTCCTCACTCTTTTTCTTGATTTCTGAGAAGCACTAGAAGTTTCAGCAATTTCTTCAATTCTATTTGATGTTATCGGTATAAGCTTCATGTTTACTTCATCTTCGTTGTTGCTTATCATTGAAGAAGGTAACAAAAAACTTTACTGGATTGTGTGTTGGTTGTCAATTTGCATTATTAATTGTCCTTCTTCTTCTTGATCATTGACAAACTGGTATAAATTTATTGGAGGAGCGGGTAATTGTTGCAGCATTATATATTCTGAAGCAGTTGTAATGTTAGAAGGTTGTTGCTCATTGTCTACTTTCATTATTGGATGTCCTACTTTATGTTGATAATCAGGAAAAGGTTCTGAATCTATCGCATATATAGGTACTGAGTTCTTCATCTAAAGTTACAAGCATTCCTTTGCTTGTATTTAGTTTGATATCAAACCATACTTTTAGTTAATATCTGGTTGAATCAATATTTGCAACTTCACTAATTTTCTTCAGGAAAGTATTGAATGATATGTGCTTATTAAGAAGAACAAGTTTTGTATCATGATCCAAGTATTTGAAATCAAGAGTCCACCTTTCATTGAAAGTTATAACAAAGCAAATCGAACTCATCCTGCAGATTCATGTTTAGTGGCAAGTATTAGGAAAGTGAACAGAAGAACTTTAGGTTGTTTGTGGTGAAGTTTTTACAAATGAACTAAATCACTTAAGCATCTTCTGCTGAAATTTTTTGAAAAAAGATATATGACATAATTAATGAATCCTACACAGAAAACTTCAGCTTATTAAGTGCTAAAGTTTTTAGAAATAAACTAAATAACTTACGCATATCAGCTGAAGTTTTTTTGAAAAAGTTGTATGACATGATTCATGAATCCAGAGAAAAAAACTTCAGCTCATTAAGTGTTGAAATTTTAGAAATGAACTAAATAACTTCAGCACATTGGGTTGAAGTTTTAGCAAATGAATTCAACAAACTTGAGCATGTTTCAACATTAATTGCATAGTATACATGAGTAAACATAACAAATACAATTAAAGTAGTAATTATATTGCGTTGGGGTATGTGTTAGTATAATAATTACATTCCTATCACATTCATGCACGTTTTTCAGTAGACAACATTTAAAATTCCTCTTTGCCTTTTCATATACCGTGCAAAAGTTTTTTTCGCCTATATAAGCACGTTATACCTTGTGAGTTTATTCACACAAACACATATATTTTAGCAGACATAAAATACAAAACTGAGAAAAATGGATGTTGTCATCAGGCAAATAGTTGACGAAATCAAGCAAGACATTACAGAGGCTTTTGAGCTGAAATTAGATGAGCTCATAGACAAGTAAGACAGGAAGCTGGAAGAAATCAACAACAAGCTTGATAGGATTGAGATGCTGGTGAAATTTGATAGTCTTGGTGATGAAGATGCTTGTGACAACCCTGCCGGTCGTCTTAAGAATTTATGCCTCGATCCCCTCTTAACTGCTTTCCCCGAGTTTATTTCTGTTATTTTGATTTGTCGGGATGTTCGGTTTTGAGTTTCGGAGAGTTTTGGGACACTTAGTCCCTAAATGAGAGCTTAAGTACTAGAAAGTTGACCGTAGTTGGAACAGTATGAAGACGACCTCTGAATGGAAATTCGATGGTTTCGTTAGCTCCGTCGGATGATTTTAGGCTTAGGGGCGAGTTCGGATTGAGTTTTGGAGGCCCGTAGCTAATTTAGGCTTGAAATGCCGAAAGTTGAATTTTTGAAGTTTCCGGTCCGATAGTGAGATTTTGATCTGAGGATCGGAATGGAATTCCGGAAGTTGGAGTAGCTCCGTAGTGTTGAATGTGACGTCTGTGCAAAAGTTCAGGTCATTCGGACGAGGTTTGATAGACTTTTTGATCGAAAGCGTATTTTGAGAATTTTGGAGTTCTTAGGCTTAAATCCATGGTTAACTCGAGGTTTCGATGTTGTTTTAGGTGTTTTAAGGATTGGTACAAGTTTGGATAGTGGTTTGTGACTTATTGGTGCCTTTGGTTGAGGTCCCGGGGGCCTCGGGAGGAATTCGGATGGTTGACGGAAGGATTTGGAGTTTGAAGTTTGCTGCAGCAGCTGGTTTACTGTCATAACCGCACCTGAGGTTTGGGTCCCGCAAGGCGGAGCTACAGAAGCGGCGGAGCAAGCATAGATGCGAATTTGGGGAGGATCAGCAGGTTCCGCATATGTGGGTAATTCACCGCAGAAATGGAACCGCACATGTGGAAGTGTAACCGTAGATGCGGAAATTGTCCTTTAATGAAAAATCGCAGAAACGGGACCACATATGCGGTCCCAGAGCCACAAATGTGGAAATCGCTGGGCAGAACATATAAATTCTTGCCTTCGCGAAATTTAGCCATTTTTCATCTTTTCAAAACGGGAAGAAGCTTGGGGAGCACTTTTCAAGAGGGATTTTCAGAGGAGTTCATTGGGGTAAGGTCTTTGGTCCCTAAACTCGTTATTTGAATGATTTTTATCAATTTAAGCATGAAAAATTAAGGAAAATCGGTGGTAATTGGGGGGTTAGGGCTTGTCTAATTGGAGACCTTTGAGTGATGATTTGAGGGACAAATTGAGGTCCGATTTTGGTACTTTTGATATGACTGAATTCGTGAGAGTGCGAGGTTTCTGGAAATATAAATTTTACCCGATTCCGAGACGTGGGCCCGAAGGGCGTTTTGGTCATCTTACCTAATTTCGCGTGTTATCTTAGAATTTAATTGTAGAATCAGTTACTTGAAGTGTTATTTGCATTATGCAATTGAATTGAATAGATTTGGGCCATTTGGAGTCGAGTACTCGTGGCAAGAGCATGCTTTCGGGTTGATTTTGAGCCGGTTCGAGGTAAGTGGCTTGTCTAACCTTGTGTGGGGAACCTTCCTCTTAGGATTGGTATATTTGGTAATTGAAATGCCTTGTACGTGAGGTGACGTGCGTACTTGTACTAATTGTTGGAAATCCGATTTTCATTGAGTAATCACTAGTTTGTTTCCTTTCTTGTTTTTATTACTTGCATTATTAAGCATGTTGTTAGTTTAGGAAAGCATATCTAAGTGACTTAATTGCTTTATTTGCTCAATCTGCCTTACCTAAATTTTGTGCAGCATGCTAGGCTAGAATCACTTGTTGCCTTAATATGAATTTTGCCATTTCTGTATATTTTTCATGTTGCTGCTGTGTATTTATTTTGGGACTATGGATGTGGGATTCTGGTAGCTCCCCTTTGTCTGTCTATTTTGGGACTACGGATGTGGGATTCTGGTAGATCCCCCTGCACAGTTATATGGAACTACGGGAATGTACTCGGTAGATCCCCCCAGTATTAGGTATTTACATTTGGGACTACATAATGGGATTTCGGTAGATCCCCACGCACTATGAGTTGGACTACAACTCGGGATCCCGGGAGACCCATTGGATATGCACATATGGGACTACAGGACGATATCCTGGGAGATTCCCGATTGTTATTATTGGTGTTGAGTTGTATTTCCTTTCCGTGTTTACCTTGCTTCGGTATAGTTGTTGATGTCCTGTATATCCTATGTTATCTTCACTGTTGTACTTATTTATATTGTTCTATTCTATACTGTTGAACTTATATTTTTGTTTAACCTCAGTAGGGCCCTGACCTTCCTCGCCACTACCCAACCGAGGTTAGGCTTGGCACTTACTGAGTACCGCTGTGGTGTACTCATTCCCCTTCTGCGCATGTTTTTCATATGCAGATCCAGGTACCGCTATTCAGGCCTACCATCCTTGAGGGAGGCGACTGCTCTAGAGACTTCGAGGTACATCTATCGCGTCCGCAGACCGAGGAGTCACTTTCTATTCTAGCTGCTAAACATTGCCCTTCTGTATTTTATTTTCTTTCTGGTTAGATATTCTGGAGTTAGACTGTTAGATATTCCAAAGGCTTGTGTTTCCGTGAGTTTTCGGATTTTGGGATAGTGTACTTGGTTTTGAGAATGTTGTGTTGTATATGCCAAGCGGCATTTTAACTATTGTTTCCATTCAAATATTTTGGGTTTTTATTATTTCTTCTGCGAGTTTCGTTTATGTTCCGCACTCGTTAGGCTTACCTAGTGTAGCCGTCACGACAATTCACGGAGGGCGAACTGGGATCCGTAGGGTCGTGACAATGCTCGTCCATCTAGTAGTGACGACGATGATGATGATGATGATGATGATGATGATGATGATGATGATGATGATATGGACGATTAGTTTTTCTTTTTTTCTATAATCCTTTTAGTTAAAGGATCATATTGTTATTTTTTTATTTATGTAATTTAATTTATCTTTTTTAATATTTAATGAAATATACAATTTTTGTTTTAAGTTTTTTGTGTGTTTTTTTTAATATTAATGTTATTCAAACTCGAAAATAACAGAGGAAATGTAACTTCAGCAGGAATTAACAAAAATTAAGCATTTTTTGGTATGAAGTTTT